GTTCTTGTTGTTGTCGTTGTTGTCGTTGTTGTCGTTGTTGTCGTTGTTGTCGTTGTTGTTGTTGTCGTTGTCGTTGTCGTTGTCGTTGTCGTTGTCGTTGTCGTTGTCGTTGTCGTTGTCGTTGTTGTTATTGTTATTGTTGTTGTTGTTGTTGTTGTTGTTGTTGTTGTTGTTGTTGTTGGTGTTGGTGTTGTGGTCGTCGTCGTCGTTGTTGTCGTCGTCGTCGTCGTCGGAGTCGTTGTTGTTGTTGTTGTTGTTGTCGTCGATGGTGCTACCGCTGCCGCTTGCTGGTGTGGCGCTGATGGCTCATGTATCGGACATGATCACCAACTATAACTATTCATGAACACATGTACGGTGTCATCATGCTTGCACAGAAAGCCTCGACAAGGCCCAGCCAGACCTGGCCAAGCATTACGAGACCAAGACTTTGAAAGAAGACGACTTGAAGAAGTTGGCGCAGCATCTGCGCGACGGTCGCGCCCCCGGGGTTTGCATAAGAGTTGCTGACATCCTGTCACGCACCATATATTCTACATGGCCTGTGGAGCTTTCGTTGACTGAGTTCCACCGTCATATTTCCAAGTGAACCGAACACCACCTGCACGAGGGAGCTTTTCGAACATTAAAAGGTGAAGCCTACACATTGTGGTAACATGTTGCAGAGGCCAGTTTCTCAAGCTAGTCGTTGCAACACGGCTGCAGCGGCAGGTCTTCAGCAAGCCATCACCAACGTTCTCAAGGTCAAGGGGGCTGAGAAGCTGCTGACCAAGGACCCCGTGGTGAAGCAGGCTCCTTCCAAGCTTGTCATTTTTGCTATGCTGGAGTAGACACAGAGTCCAAATCAGCGACGTGTTCTTGTCTCGATTGGCCTGCCGCAGCATTACTGTAGTATTGGATGTCATTGCGTATAGTTCATTTCCATGTAACTGTGATGCTTCTTTGCAGTCCATCGCGATGCGACGACCATTCCTGGACATCTCGCATGTGATCCAGGCTGACCGCATTGGTGTGTGGGCGTGTGCTTGTGTTCAAAATTTATTCTTGCGGTTCGGGTCACAGACTTCTGTTCCGAGGCACTTGCATGGGGTGGGTCCCTTGGGGCATCGTCTGTTTCTTACGGGCCCTTGCGTCTCCGAGCTGATATGAGTATCGGACGAATCTCGTGCACGAGACATGCGTTCACTATGCCGCTTTGCAGATATACTGTCTTAGCATAGTGGAGACCCGATGTCAGATGCCCGCTCGCCTGCTTGACAAGTATGAAGTATGTCAGCAGTCCAATATCCGAGAAGCGACAAGAGTGCAAAAGCACTCTGGACCCAGCTTCTGCTTGGATGATGCGAAATCTCATTGAGTGAGTCTTAAATGGTGTGTCGATACGGCGAATCGTGGACTAATAAGCCTTGACCGCAAGCCAAACGTGAGGAGTTCATCTGTCCTCGAGGCATCTACGCTGTTCGAGCTATCAAGCTTATAGGTTTCGGAGCGGATTGGAGAAACTGGCCCCCGTAGATGTGCAGCATTCATAGGCCTGAGTGTAAAGGTGCTGGTATGGATATCGAGACGACTCGACACCTCCGACCGCAAAAGATCAAAGCAAAAGCGGGGAAGCCCAACAAAAATATCGCTGAGCAGGCGGAAGTGCTCCAGAGGCTTCGGGATGTGCAGGCGAAAGACGAGGCCCTTGCTTTGACTTGGAGGGTTTGGCTCTTATTTCAGGTTTAGGGTTTAGGGTTTAGGGTTTCCGTTTCGGGTTCAGGGTTTAGCTTGAGTGTTTCCAGAGTTTCGACCCTGGAAGGTTACCGAGGGTTTGGCGGGGTTTCGGAGTTTGGGGCTTGAGAGCTGTATCGCTTCGGGTTGCTTGCTCCCTGCGGATTGTTGGCTTACTCCCTCCCTTGACTTCGAAACCTTGATCATCTGATCAAACCCTAAACCCTAAACCCTAAAATCAGTGTTCGCCAATTTCGGCCGAAGACACATCCGGAACCCTGTAAGCACTCACCTCTCAGGAGCCGCCCAAGGAGCTGAGGGATGCCATGATCATCTCCATCCAGGCAAGTCTGGGCAGGAGATGAGTTAAACGACAACTGAGGACAGCCTAGGCCTAGACCGGGGCACAGTCTTCCTTCATGTTTCCTCACCGGATCGCTTCCTTCAGGCCATCGCCGCCGGCATGCAGAACACCGGATGAGCGACTCAAGAGTTCGAGCTGCGAGGGTCAGAATCCCATTCTGTGCTGTACCAGCAGGGTTCCCCCGGTCCTTCTAAAAAGAGGGGGGGCACCGACCTTCGCATGCTCAGGGGGGAGGTCTGGAGGGCCTCGCCCTAGGCACTTCGTAGCCTTCTTGCCCCACTTTAAGGGGGCCAATTTAAGGCGGTAGTCTATAGTTCTTCAAGGAATGTGCATATTTTGTGTCTCTGTGCTTGGGTGTGGAAAGCCATTTTTTCTGGTTGGTTGGCTGGCTGGAGCCCAATCTCACGGGGATGTCCCACTGTGGACCTCGGCTGTTACCGGCCGAAAATCGCTTTGAAGTCACGTCAGCAGATGCCGACACTTAGCTTGGCTAGAGTGACTCCAGAAACAGACCAGATTACTCTGACCGCGATTCGAAAAGAGATGCTCAGCTCTTGCATCGGACAAGAACGGAAGTAGTGTAAATTTCACGCGATACCATGCAAAGCAACACTCATTCAACCGCATGTCTGAGCAGTTGTCGAGAGACTTGGAGAGTCCGGGAGCTGTCTCCTTCGCGGGAGGCCTGGTGGTGGAATATCACAAACCTTGGTGCCCAGATGAAGGACTTGATGGTCACAGGCCGGAGCAGTAACAACCAAGGCTTTCAAACAGCAGCTTCATCCTTCGAGTGCCGTCACATGCCTCACAGGGCATCATCGTTCAGTCCCTGATGTGGACTCGCTCCTTCCTCACATCGCATCAACACCACCATCATCCTCACCAACACCACCAGCGACAACAACAGCAACACGCCGCCGCGACAGCAACGGAAATGCACAGGAGCAACAACAGTAACAGCGATAGAAAGAGCAAGTAATGCCAACTCGGATGAGACTAAAGCACTTAGATGACTTAGTAGTTTCGGCAACGCTGGCGAAGTAGTGCGCATGACACAGGCATGCCGAACTGCCGATCACCGACAAACACGACGGAAAAGATAAAAGCACGCTTCAAGCAGTCAAAAGCAGTACTTCCAAGTGATGCCAGTATCGACACAACAACTTAAATTGCGACAGTGAGCTGGAAGCAGCACAGCGAGGGAAATTGCGAACTATTTCTGTAGGCTTGTATCGTCGGCAAGAAGTTGCAGAGTATAGGAGATAAGGCCACAAACCTTGAAGGCCCTGAGTGCTTGGATGCATGTGGCCTGCTCGGAAATGAATGACTGCAGACAGTTTCACGGCAAGCCACAACGGCTCCTCAACGGCTAACTCAAAGCGGCTCCCACCGAGCACGCAACCCAAGCCAGTCCAGCAGCACTTGCGGCCTGATACCAAGCTGAACACAGGCCGCAGCGTGGACAGCACCTACTGCCGTGATGCTAGTTAGCATGTTCCTCGTTGCTACGGCTACTTATTAAGGAGGACGATATCGATGATGATGGTTGTTGTGTCATGGGTCCTGGGTCCCCAGTGTTGCAAAACTACTGGTTCTTGAGATTGCACTGGTTGCTATAACTGTTCCCATGACTGCTTCCCTTGTGCAGACGACCCGGCGAGCTCTCCGCGCTCCTCCGTCGGGAACTCGCCACGTCCGGGCACTGCGGGTACCGGTAGCAAGGCCGGGCTGTGGGGTTGGGATTACAGGGGCGTGTCCTTGCGGGTGTCCATGGGCCGCTTATCAAGGTTTAGACCGGCCCTAGCGAAGCCCGGAATCCCCCCCAAGCGAGTTTCTCAACACGAAGAGTCCCTTGCAATGACATGAAACCGGGATCCGAGCTCGTCTGCTTTCCCACCGCCTGGTTTTCAACTTATTGTTTAGTCTGCCTTAGTGGACTCAGAGTCACAGTAATACTCAGGGTCTGCATAGCTCCACCAACCGCCATGCCAGGGTAATTGCACGTTTATCCTGTTTCGCACTCCGTGCTCTCCACGGATCCAGACCCGCGGTTCAGTTTCGGTTTTTGGACGCGGGTCGCCTCGCAAGTTCTGGTTTTTGAACGGTGTTTGCGTTGTGGTCCGGGGCTTCGATTCTTGTCAGGAGTTCCCTTTGAGTCTGCAGCAGCGGTAGCCTTTCTTCAGTTCGGACCTGCACGACCCTGCAGATCGCGTCTCGCGTTGTTGAGTAGAATCACAGGACGAAATTCCAGAATCGTGTGCCTCTGCATGCCCTCGACGCATCGTGAGCCACAACTGCCTGCTTGCCCTCACCGCCCTCCCTACCCTCTTGCAGCAGCGAGATCGACCCACCAACACCATCAACATCAGCAGCACTACGTCAGCAACCACGACCCTTTCTTATTGAACTCGATTGCGGTTCGATTTATTCGCAGTTCCGGTTTGCGGTTTCTCGAAAAGGGTGCCGGTTCGGTGCGCGGTTCTGGTTCGCGATTCCCCAGCTTGAGAAATGCTTGATGGTTGACTTTGGCTCGCGCACTCCTTACTGCAGGTGCCTTCCGTCCGTGGCGAGCCAGACGTGACCTTCAAGGAGGACAGCCTGGGTTTGACTAATGTAGACAGTGTAGACTTGAAAAGTGATGCTAGTGCAGTCTAAGATCGGTCTAGCTCCTGGGTATACGCAAACCCAGCCGTGCAATAAGTCTGCCATCTCTTCCGAGTCTGGGAGTGAATTCCAGCTCTCTGCAGTTTTGTCTTGTCCATATGTCCTCATCTGCAGCCTTCCTTCCGGGGGCATGTCAGTGAAGATCAGCATGATAGGTGCTACAGGCATCTCAGAAACGGCTGCCCATACAATCGTGGACTGCGCCTAGGAGCTTCCAGAGTCGACTCTCAAGCGGGCGGCAAAGGTCGCTGCATGTACACCCAAGCTCGAACGGAGGCACGCAGAAGTTCAGTTGACCCTTGACAATGTACTCCTATCAGCCACTGTGTTTGGCATCACTCTTGGTTTCTGAACCCGATGCCTCGGACTTTACCAATCTGGCCACGCGACTAGAAAATTGGGTCACAGCTATGGGCTCCCGGTGATGGGAGCTTGACATGTCCAGGTTGTAGAGGTACGCCTCCTTGGTTCGGACGATCGCGATCCTTAGACCACAAGTTGAGGATGGAACGACTGCGTGTGGTGCAATGGTCCTGCGTTTTGGCACATACACTTGCTGCAGCGCGGGCGCGCCCCTCTCCACAGTGCAACCTCCCACTTCCCGGGTCGTTGGTGCTCTCCGATAGACGAAGACCCAGACTTGCCAGACATTGGGATGGCAGCTATGGACCCCACGTTTGGGGCTTGACATGCGTATCCCAGGTTTCAGCCGCTTTTCCCCTTCTCTGCTCGTCTTCATCCTTGCTTCTGCTGCTCTGACCTGCACGGGGCCATGGCGGCGACTGCGGAGCCCCCCCAGAAAGACTTCTCTCTACCTGTAGTCAGTGAAATCGGTTGAGTACCCTCTGATATTAATCGCTTATCTCATCCGCGGCTCCACTCATCGAAAATGTCAACAATACCAGCTCTGGGACTGTTTAGCTATGTTCAGCTTTCTGTGAGAACGACTACCGACCTCCGTTTGCAAGGTTCGGGACTGCCGACTTATCTTCCAGCACAGCAGGGATGAAGAGGACTGACGTCTGCCATGATGCCTTGAGCGATGCTGGGGTTGTATGTAAATAGCTTCGTTTCCGAGCGAAACCTTTCAACACAGACTAATTCGGTCTCTACTCACTCCACCATGATTTTTCAAACCTTTCAAGAGACCTTTCCATGGAGAAGATCGGGCGTCAATCCGTCAGCAGATGCAACCCGGTCAGAGAATGGCAGAGGACGCGAATAGGACTGAAGTCGTTGGGAAACCTCAGCCTTGCACCAACCCTGGAGAGCCTGAACTGTGTACACCTACTCAACACAGGTCAGAAAGGTACTATGGCCACGATCCTAAGGCTGCGGCTCCAGTCAACAGACACGGAAGGCCAAACTGAGCATCACTGTTGGTAGTTTGGTAAACAGGAAGCAGTTGAGCTTCTGTCCGCCATTTCGCCGGAAGCGAGGTTTCCTGGCGACAGCATAACACCTTGAACCCAAAACCCTCCAGCCCTGAAGCCTTGAATCCCGTGCTCCCGCACCTAAAGCCCTTGTGTTGGAGAAGGAGCTTTCCAAAAAGCAACCGTGCGGTTCTTGAACCCCTAAACCCAAAACCCTATACCCTTTAATCCTCAGAGCTTGTCGCCGCTAGCTCCGAGGAAGCCTCCGGAGCCCAGCATCTCCCCCGCTCGGCTACGGCGATGCTGGCGATTCTTGCTTCAGGAAGTAGAGAATCAATACAGATCTTAAGTAGCAGGATCCTCATGCGCTGCACGGGAGGAGGCCATGGGATTGATTCGGTGGGTTTTTGAAGCATCCTCCGACTGGTATTTGGAGTTGTGGTTCTGCATCATCGCAAACTTGGAAACCCCAACTTCAGCCAGAACGCACTCACCAAATCCAAGCAAGGCACATACTGCAACAGAATCGTCCTTGTAGTTTTTGTATGAGATGCCATATCTATAAATCTGTATCTATATCTTGAAATAGACATATATCTACGTATAGGTGTATGTATGTGTGTATGTATGTATGTATGTATGTATGTATGTATGTATGTATGTATGTATGTATGTATGTATGTATGTATGTACACTCATATACATGCATATGCATACGTCTACATACCTAGACACACCTACATGTTTTTGCCGGGACAGCACGAGTCAAACTGCATCATATCTGTCTACCAGTCGCAGAGTATCTACTGTTCTTGAGATTTTTGCACATCAGCCAAGCACAGACACCCAGACGCTGGGGAGTTCGGCTTAGGCCACCGAGCAGTTTCCTGTCGAAGTTGGCGGGTCATCTAGGTCAGGCTCGGCAGCACCATCTTGGGTTGAACCACCTTTTGAAATCTTTCCGTGGCGGAAGTTCGTTCCTTCGACATGATCTGCCAGGGCACAAACTGCCCCTGGCAATGTTGGTGCATGCCTCAGTTCTCTTGCTCCTCGGGCTATGCTTGTGGTTGGAGCAATTGACTCACAAGTGGGACAGCACAGTGTTGCGCACGACGCTTGCATACCTGCCATGACGTAGGTGGTGATAGTCGCCTGTGCGTCAGCGGTCCTGATTCGTGACCACATCATGGTCATCATGAATTTTCCTGTCTGTCAATGTCAAGAAAGTTGTGGACGCAATGGTGATGGCGGGATGGTGATGCTGTTACTGATAGTGGTGGTGGGTGGCGCTTGCTGTGGTAGTGGGGGCGGTGCTACAGCGGTGCTGGCGATGATGCTACTCCTGCCGCTGATCATGAAGACTATGACTATGATGGTCATGGTGTCGACGGGGAAGGAAGCAGAAGAGTCCGATAGAGGGGCAAGGGAAAAGGGACAGCGAAGATGGGGACCGTCATGATGGTGGTCGTGGTGATGACGATGACGGTGATGTTGATTTTCATGGTGATGGTGGATCCTGCTGCTGTTGCTGCTGCTGCCTGGGATGCTCTACTACTGTTATTGGTCATCGTGGTCGTGGTGCTGGTGCTGGTGGTGATGTGGACGGTGAAGGAGATGGTCAGGTGGTGGTGAGGGTGGCATGGGTGTTGGCGCTTGCAGTGAATGCGATGCGGCAGCGGCACTTTAACACCGCGCAGTGCTCACAGGACAGACGCCGAAGCTGCAGGGTCCTGAGACTGCCTGAGACTGCATTCGAACTTGCGGCTTGTGACCAAAGCCAGCACATGAGCTGATGCTGGATCCTTACTGTAACGCTCCCCAAACTCCCGAGCCACTACGCCGCGGCTTTTCTAAAGCTGTCCATCTCCATCTCTATCCGGATATAGACCGGAGCTGCCATGGCTGCAGCACAACTCGGTTACCGCTTTACTTTCATTGACTTGACGGAGAGCAAGACGGATGGTCCGGATGGTAGCCGCGTCCGTGCCCGGAGCCTTCCCCCCATCCGGTCGTCCGTGGCAAACCCGGAGACTCTTGCCGTAGATGCCTGGGCACACCTTCATCTTCGCACTCTCCGCCAAGGGCAGGATGCAACAGTTTGGGACACCCAACACTGTGCAGCCGCCCATGCATCTACATGGCAAAGCAGGGTCGGTGCCAGAAAGGCGCGGCGTGTGGCTTCTGCCACCATCACAACGACCCCAAGCCCGACAAGCAGCAGCGCCACTTGATGGGCACGATGCCTAGGGCAGAGTTACTCGGCCTTATCGCAGATCTACTTCGGGACCATGCCGATCAAGATGGGTTGCACGATGTGAGTTTCTTGGCAGCGGCTCCTTGGTCGATTAGTTGCGCCTGGCATCGTAGGCGTGCCGTAATGTGTTAATTGGTGCCTACGGTGCAAACGAGGTGGTGGCTGTCCAGGCAGGACTTCGTCCAAGGAACTTCCAGACGAAGTCTCGCAAGCTTTCCAACCTGCGCAAGGTGCCAAACAAAAGTGGACCGAGGGAGAGTAGTTTGTAAGCCTGAGCTGTTTGCGGCTGTGCGCTCGAGCATGTTTGCAAGCTGGGAACGGGAGAAGCTGAGACTGCGGAAGTCTTGAACTTTTGGTTCCAAACGCCAGGTGCTACAGCGCATGAGCTTCTCCTCCATCCTCTCGATGGCTGCACATCACTGTGAGGGCCGCGGCAAAGCTTCGATTCTGCAGGAGCTGAGGGTCCTGCGAAACAGTGCTAGGTGAGCTCTCAGAGCACTGTCCGCATCTCAGCGACTCATCTCACTTGCAGTGGCCGTCCAATGCTCTCAGAAGTTAAGAGTGTGAGTAGAGCTATGCAAAGCCTGTTGAGCATGTGACCCGCTTGGAGAGGGGTCGTGCAAGAGGTTGAAGCACTTTCCTGCCCCTGTGTCGTTGTGTCGTCGGGTTTCTGCAAGCGCAGACTCTAGAAATGAACGCTGCGAATGGCTTCGCTGTAGACACAGGGACGGGGCTCTTGCCGCAGTGGTCCCAGCGCTCACAGTTGTGCTCTGGTCACTCTGGTCTTGTAGCAGCCGAGATATTTTTTCGATCTGCACGTTTAACGGGTCCGTTGTGAGTTGTGAGCCATCTTGCTGGCTTGTGACTGTGCAGCAGTCGAACATTGGCTGTTCCGCCTTCGAGTGGTCAGCTGGCTTCGTCCATGCTTGTTAAGAGAGGCCAGGCGAACCCCTTGATTTGCCGAGGCTTCTTCACGTTGGCATGGGTGCTTCAGTAGAATTCTAGAGGCCATTGGAATATTGTGTTTATGTCCCTGCTTACTTCGGTTCAGAGTGGCCCTCACTGATGCCGGTCTTCACTGATGCCGCCTTGCTAAGATCTGGTCTTGGCCATGCCTCACCTTTGTGGGAGCATGCGCCAGTTTCGGTTCAGTGTGTCCCGGTTTGTTCGGTCAATCGTTCATTTGCGTATCGCTAACACATTTACATCTAAGAATCATGAATCTGAGCATTAATTTGCTGGCTGGCTGCCGTCAGGAACCATGACGAGCTTGCCCGCAGCTCTGTGTATTTATGCATGCTGCATGGCGTGTTTCTTTACCTAGCAATGTAGTTCTTGAGGAGCGTAGTTGACAGCGTCTAATTCGCAAAGCTGCACGAACACCAAGCAAGAGCTCCATGTCCGGAATTGCGAAGGCTTCCAAATACCGCGACTGAATTTTCGAGAACTAGACATGCCCTGAACACTGCTGCGCGACTGGTGCGGCTTTTCCGATCACGATCTGCTACATGGCTTGCGTTGTCAGGGTGATCGAAGGCTAGGAGCTTTCGAGATAGCCTCTGACATTGCTCGTTCCAAGCGGACGAAGAGCGCGAGAAACGGTGCCTGCGGTGTCTTCGATCTAGGCCAGGATGCACTCCGATCACTAATGACCTGCGCAGACACCAACCGAAAAGAAACAATGAGTCATAACATCTGAGGATGGGGATGGACTCTCGCCTGAGAGCCATATCTGCCGTGCACAAGGCATTGCATCGGCTGGTGTAATGCTTCCCGCTGAAGTACCTGGCTTGCTCTGTCTTGGCGCGCATCAAATTCCTTGGGTTGTTTGCTTTGTGGCATGCGGGGGATGTGGTTCACTGGTCTCGTCGGCCCTCCCTCTCGTCCCATACGTGGCAGGACCATCTTGCTGACAAAACTCACATAGCTTACGACTGTTTGGGTTTCGGGTTTGGGGCTAAAGGTTTCGGCTGGGGCCCAGTGTGCGTGAGTGATCTTTCAGGGCTTTGTGCCTGCAGCCCCGCAGGCGTCCGAGACAGTTGCGGTTGACACATCCCAAGACGTTGGCAAACTGCAGGCGCCTGCTGAGCCTCACGTGACTGCAGACATCTGTAGGCTAAGTTACCTTAAATGCAGCACTTCATTCGTACTTCTATCCAGCTAAAGATTGTGTTTGTCAAGATCTTCTATCATCCAATGACCCTGCCCGCTCTGAACGCCAGCTTTGCAGACTTAATTCGATCTTGTGGAGCCGCTTCCTTCCGAAACGATAGAATATGAGACTGGCAACACTCGTGACTTTACTGTCTCAGCCTTTCACGTTTGGCGACGCATTTCGGATCACAGCTCCAGTCGCAAGCTTTGCGCCCAACTCACACCGTGCAGCTTGGATAGACTGTTTATGGTGCTTTGTACATTCGGTGTCGTGCAGGTGGCGACGATGCTGACGATGCTGTGTCGGTGGTTGTTGTTGCAGCTGTTGTTGCAGTGCGCGCTGCGTTGTGGTTGCTGTGGCTGCTCTTGCTCTTGCTCTTGCTCTTGTTCTTGTTGTTGTTGTTGTTGTTGTTGTTGTTGTTGTTGTTGTGGTTGTCGTTGTTGTCGTTGTCGTTGTCGTTGTCGTTGTTGTTGTTGTTGTTGTTGTTGTTGTTGTTGTTGTTGGTGCTGGTGCTGGTGCTGGTGCTGGTGCTGGTGCTGGTGCTGGTGCTGGTGCTGGTGGCGTCGGTTGTTGAGACTGCTCTGGTAGTGTCACGTGAAAGGAGCAGGGGATCTCGTAGGTAGA